TTTCCCTCGCCTTTTTTCCCGACTCATGACGGATCCCTTCCGCTTCGTCCCGCACTGTTTACCTCTGCCACCATCGATCTGGATAGTCTGTTGTGCCTTTGCTTCATCCGTAGTCGCTATTCACTGGGATCCGAAACCACGTTGCATGACATCCATATAACTTGGGGAGTCCGCAAGTCGTTTCCCTCGCCTTTTTTTCCGACTCACGACGGATTTGTTCCGCTTCGCCCCGCACTGTTTACCTCCGCCACCATCGATCCGGATAGTCCGTTCTGCCTTTTATTCATCCGTAGTTGCTGTTCGCCGGGATCTGAAACCACGTTGCACAACATCCATATAACTTGGGGACTCTGCGAGTCGTTGCCCTCGCCTTTTTTTCCAACTCGCGACGGATCCGTTCCGCTTCGCCTCGCACTGTTTACCTCCGCCACCATCGATCCGGATAGTCCGTTCTGCCTTTTATTCATCCGTAGTTGCTGTTCGCCAGGATCCGAAACCACGTTGCACAACATCCATATAACTTGGGGACTCCGCGAGACGATTCCCTCGTCTTTTCTTCCAACTCGTGACGGATCCATTCCACTTCGCCCCGCACTGTTTACCTCCACCGCCATCGATCCGGATAGTCCGTTGTGCCTTTTTCCCAACAGCCATCATCCATCAGGAGCGCATCTGCTCTTGTCTACTGATTCTCCACCACTTCTCCTCATTCCTTTCAGGCTGAAAATGTTAAGTTCCTGATACTTCAGTATTTTTACTGCAAACGGGGACATTACGGCCAATTCTGGACCAGATTCCAAGCGAAATCTCAGAATTTGGGGCATTATGGGTGCTTTGGGAACACACGGTCGACTCTGTTATGATTTCATTGGACTTCTTCTTTGAGGGAAAACGAGGCTCAAAAGAACTGGGTTTGGATTGTATTTGTTGGGCCTCGAATGGCCTTTGTTTGCCGTATCACTCCCTGGTTTGTGCCGGGAGTCTGTCTGGGATGATGGGAATTGTAGTCTGTCGTGCTAAACCAGATTGCTGGCTTTGTTTCGAATCCGAATCCTATCTCAAAACGTAACAACCGAAACCACACATCAGTCCATCTAAAAACACCTTAAAATATTAAGTCTGTTCCAATTGTGTTTTGATCTACTGCAATTCCCATCATCCACCACCAATTGGGAGTTATAGTTGTCTCTCTGAAAAAAATCCCAAAAAAGTGCCTACATTGGCCTTCCAAATGATGACCGGGACCGTGATCTGAATACTGTGGCGACGCCCGACAACAGATTTGCATACATGCAAATTAAGTTTATATTTCATCCAGCAGAGAAAGATATATATATATATAAAATAGGGCCGACTGATAAGATGTAGATACTAAGGGCTTTCTCGTAATGGGAATTGTTAGTCCCTTTATGTTTGGGACTACAACTTCCATCGGTTCTGTCAAGCCAAGGATTATGGGAGTTCCTTCCTTTGTTTTTTATGATTGCACTGATCTCAATTTGTTTTCCCTGCCCTATTTATTTCCCTCGTTCTGTGGTTTTGCCATAGGGCCCCCCATGTGCCTCTTCTCGGACTGCAAGTCCCATAATCCACCGCCATTGCCTTTACGATGCCTTCAAAGTGCCTACAAAGACGTGCCAAAACTGTGCCGAGGTGCCATTGCGTGAAGTCTCCCAGCGATTGAGGAGGGGCCAATATCTGTATTGTTCCGCCAAGGGTCGACGGGGCCAACCCTAAAGCCCGGGAGACGGGGACCAAAAAGCGCACGACCAATCACATTGCCACTTTCAGTGTTTACGCTGTGATACAACCCTGAATGAAATGGGTGACGACGATAAACGAAAAATGTAAATAGAAACACACCACTGGATTTACTGTCTTTCCCTCGTGGGGCTGGAAGCGCCCTCCAAGGACAGCCGTTCAATAAAAATATTTCTCTTGGGAAACACTTTGGTCCATTTTGTTTACTAGGTGTTAATATTTTATATACTGCCCTCTTGTGGTCGCATCGGAGAGCTGCATACATACATATCTATAAGCCATTACGTTATCCTTTCTAAATGCCGCCCCCTTGTGGCTGCATCTCAACACTGCATACATACATATCTATAAGCCATTACGTTATCCGCCCCCTTGGGGTCGCATCACAGCATTGTACATATACATATCTATAAGCCATTACGTTATCCTTTCTAAATGCTGCCCCCTTGTGGTTGCATCTCGACACCGCATTCATACATATCTAGAAGCCATTACGTCATCCTTTCTATATGCTGCCCCCTTGTGGCTGCATCTCAACACTGCATTCATACATATCTATAAGCCATTACGTTATCCGCCCCCTTGGGGTCGCATCACAGCATTGTACATATACATATCTATAAGCCATTACGTTATCCTTTCTAAATGCTGCCCCCTTGTGGTTGCATCTCGACACCGCATTCATACATATCTAGAAGCCATTACGTCATCCTTTCTATATGCTGCCCCCTTGTGGCCGCATCTCAGCATTGCATACATACATATCTATAAGCCATTACGTTATCCTTTCTATATGCTGCCCCCTTGTGGCTGCATCTCAACACTGCATTCATACATATCTATAAGCCATTACATTATCCTTTCTAAATGCCGCCCCCTTGGGGTCGCATCACAGCATTGTACATATACATATCTATAAGCCATTACATTATCCTTTCTATATGCTGCCCTCTTGTGGCCGTATCTCGACACTGCATACATACATATCTATAAGCCATTACGTTATCCTTTCTAAATGCTGCCCCCTTGTGGCTGCATCTCGACACTGCATTCATACATATCTATAAGCCATTATATTATCCTTTCTATATGCTGCCCCCTTGTGGCTGCATCTCGACACTGCATTCATACATATCTATAAGCCATTACGTTATCCGCCCCCTTGGGGTCGCATCACAGCATTGTACATATACATATCTATAAGCCATTATGTTATCCTTTCTGTATGCCGCCCCCTTGTGGCCGTATCTCGACACTGCATACATACATATCTATAAGCCATTATGTTATCCTTTCTATATGCTGCCCCCTTGTGGCCGCATCTCAGCATTGCATACATACATATCTATAAGCCATTATGTTATCCTTTCTGTATGCCGCCCCCTTGTGGCCGTATCTCGACACTGCATACATACATATCTATAAGCCATTACGTTATCCTTTCTATATGCTGCCCCCTTGTGGCCGCATCTCAGCATTGCATACATACATATCTATAAGCCATTACGTTATCCTTTCTATATGCTGCCCCCTTGTGGCTGCATCTCAACACTGCATTCATACATATCTATAAGCCATTACATTATCCTTTCTAAATGCCGCCCCCTTGGGGTCGCATCACAGCATTGTACATATACATATCTATAAGCCATTACATTATCCTTTCTATATGCTGCCCTCTTGTGGCCGTATCTCGACACTGCATACATACATATCTATAAGCCATTATATTATCCTTTCTATATGCTGCCCCCTTGTGGCTGCATCTCGACACTGCATTCATACATATCTATAAGCCATTATATTATCCTTTCTATATGCTGCCCCCTTGTGGCTGCATCTCGACACTGCATACATACATATCTATAAGCCATTATATTATCCTTTCTATATGCTGCCCCCTTGTGGCTGCATCTCGACACTGCATACATACATATCTATAAGCCATTATATTATCCTTTCTATATGCTGCCCCCTTGTGGCTGCATCTCGACACTGCATACATACATATCTATAAGCCATTATATTATCCTTTCTATATGCTGCCCCCTTGTGGCTGCATCTCGACACTGCATACATACATATCTATAAGCCATTATATTATCCTTTCTATATGCTGCCCCCTTGTGGCTGCATCTCGACACTGCATACATACATATCTATAAGCCATTATATTATCCTTTCTATATGCTGCCCCCTTGTGGCTGCATCTCGACACTGCATTCATACATATCTATAAGACAATGTTATCCTTTCTATATGCTGCCCCCTTGTGGCTGCATCTCGACACTGCATACATACATATCTATAAGCCATTATATTATCCTTTCTATATGCTGCCCCCTTGTGGCTGCATCTCGACACTGCATACATACATATCTATAAGCCATTATATTATCCTTTCTATATGCTGCCCCCTTGTGGCTGCATCTCGACACTGCATACATACATATCTATAAGCCATTATATTATCCTTTCTATATGCTGCCCCCTTGTGGCTGCATCTCGACACTGCATACATACATATCTATAAGCCATTATATTATCCTTTCTATATGCTGCCCCCTTGTGGCTGCATCTCGACACTGCATACATACATATCTATAAGCCATTATATTATCCTTTCTATATGCTGCCCCCTTGTGGCTGCATCTCGACACTGCATACATACATATCTATAAGCCATTATATTATCCTTTCTATATGCTGCCCCCTTGTGGCTGCATCTCGACACTGCATACATACATATCTATAAGCCATTATATTATCCTTTCTATATGCTGCCCCCTTGTGGCTGCATCTCGACACTGCATACATACATATCTATAAGACAATGTTATCCTTTCTATATGCTGCCCCCTTGTGGCTGCATCTCGACACTGCATTCATACATATCTATAAGCCATTATATTATCCTTTCTATATGCTGCCCCCTTGTGGCTGCATCTCGACACTGCATACATACATATCTATAAGCCATTATATTATCCTTTCTATATGCTGCCCCCTTGTGGCTGCATCTCGACACTGCATACATACATATCTATAAGCCATTATATTATCCTTTCTATATGCTGCCCCCTTGTGGCTGCATCTCGACACTGCATTCATACATATCTATAAGCCATTATATTATCCTTTCTATATGCTGCCCCCTTGTGGCTGCATCTCGACACTGCATACATACATATCTATAAGCCATTATATTATCCTTTCTATATGCTGCCCCCTTGTGGCTGCATCTCGACACTGCATACATACATATCTATAAGACAATGTTATCCTTTCTATATGCTGCCCCCTTGTGGCTGCATCTCGACACTGCATTCATACATATCTATAAGCCATTATATTATCCTTTCTATATGCTGCCCCCTTGTGGCTGCATCTCGACACTGCATACATACATATCTATAAGCCATTATATTATCCTTTCTATATGCTGCCCCCTTGTGGCTGCATCTCGACACTGCATACATACATATCTATAAGACAATGTTATCCTTTCTATATGCTGCCCCCTTGTGGCTGCATCTCGACACTGCATACATACATATCTATAAGCCATTATATTATCCTTTCTATATGCTGCCCCCTTGTGGCTGCATCTCGACACTGCATACATACATATCTATAAGACAATGTTATCCTTTCTATATGCTGCCCCCTTGTGGCTGCATCTCAACACTGCATACATACATATCTATAAGCCATTATATTATCCTTTCTATATGCTGCCCCCTTGTGGCTGCATCTCGACACTGCATACATACATATCTATAAGCCATTATATTATCCTTTCTATATGCTGCCCCCTTGTGGCTGCATCTCGACACTGCATACATACATATCTATAAGCCATTATATTATCCTTTCTATATGCTGCCCCCTTGTGGCTGCATCTCGACACTGCATACATACATATCTATAAGCCATTATATTATCCTTTCTATATGCTGCCCCCTTGTGGCTGCATCTCGACACTGCATACATACATATCTATAAGCCATTATATTATCCTTTCTATATGCTGCCCCCTTGTGGCTGCATCTCGACACTGCATACATACATATCTATAAGACAATGTTATCCTTTCTATATGCTGCCCCCTTGTGGCTGCATCTCGACACTGCATACATACATATCTATAAGCCATTATATTATCCTTTCTATATGCTTCCCCCTTGTGGCTGCATCTCGACACTGCATTCATACATATCTATAAGACAATGTTATCCTTTCTATATGCTGCCCCCTTGTGGCTGCATCTCGACACTGCATACATACATATCTATAAGCCATTATATTATCCTTTCTATATGCTGCCCCCTTGTGGCTGCATCTCGACACTGCATACATACATATCTAGAAGCCATTATACTTATCCTTTCTATATGCTGCCCCCTTGTGGCTGCATCTCGACACTGCATACATACATATCTATAAGCCATTATATTATCCTTTCTATATGCTGCCCCCTTGTGGCTGCATCTCGACACTGCATACATACATATCTATAAGCCATTATATTATCCTTTCTATATGCTGCCCCCTTGTGGCTGCATCTCGACACTGCATACATACATATCTATAAGCCATTATATTATCCTTTCTATATGCTGCCCCCTTGTGGCTGCATCTCGACACTGCATACATACATATCTATAAGACAATGTTATCCTTTCTATATGCTGCCCCCTTGTGGCTGCATCTCGACACTGCATTCATACATATCTATAAGCCATTATATTATCCTTTCTATATGCTGCCCCCTTGTGGCTGCATCTCGACACTGCATACATACATATCTATAAGCCATTATATTATCCTTTCTATATGCTGCCCCCTTGTGGCTGCATCTCGACACTGCATTCATACATATCTATAAGCCATTATATTATCCTTTCTATATGCTGCCCCCTTGTGGCTGCATCTCGACACTGCATACATACATATCTATAAGCCATTATATTATCCTTTCTATATGCTGCCCCCTTGTGGCTGCATCTCAACACTGCATACATACATATCTATAAGCCATTATATTATCCTTTCTATATGCTGCCCCCTTGTGGCTGCATCTCGACACTGCATACATACATATCTATAAGCCATTATATTATCCTTTCTATATGCTGCCCCCTTGTGGCTGCATCTCGACACTGCATACATACATATCTATAAGCCATTATATTATCCTTTCTATATGCTGCCCCCTTGTGGCTGCATCTCGACACTGCATACATACATATCTATAAGCCATTATATTATCCTTTCTATATGCTGCCCCCTTGTGGCTGCATCTCGACACTGCATACATACATATCTATAAGCCATTATATTATCCTTTCTATATGCTGCCCCCTTGTGGCTGCATCTCGACACTGCATACATACATATCTATAAGACAATGTTATTCTTTCTATATGCTGCCCCCTTGTGGCTGCATCTCGACACTGCATACATACATATCTATAAGCCATTATATTATCCTTTCTATATGCTTCCCCCTTGTGGCTGCATCTCGACACTGCATTCATACATATCTATAAGACAATGTTATCCTTTCTATATGCTGCCCCCTTGTGGCTGCATCTCGACACTGCATACATACATATCTATAAGCCATTATATTATCCTTTCTATATGCTGCCCCCTTGTGGCTGCATCTCGACACTGCATACATACATATCTATAAGCCATTATATTATCCTTTCTATATGCTGCCCCCTTGTGGCT